ATATGTACATATGTATATATGTATATATGTATGTATGTATATATGTATATTTTTATATTATGCATATATGTATATTATGTATATATGTATATTATGTATATATTATGTATATATGTATATTATGTATATTATGTATACTATGTATATTATGTATATATGTATATATGTATATTATGTATATTATGTATATATGTATGTTATGTATAAATGTATATTATGTACATATGTATATTATGTATACATGTATATTATGTATATATGTATATATGTATATATGTGTATGTAGCCGAATTCCAAATAATTGACATTAGTATCAGAAAACTATTTGCTACATACTTTGTTGATCAACGAAAGGGTTTGGCTTCTAGAAAACCAACATTTCGCGTTTTACATATCTTTTTGCATTGTGCTACACCAAGTTTGAAATAGCGAAAGAGTGAAAGTAAAAAAATCGGAATTATTCCACAGAAACTCAGTAGTCCAAAAACGGGTAACAGCTTTCAAATACAGTAGAAAACTATAAAATGTTAGGCAGTGCTCGAGTCAGTTTTCGAACGGCACAAAACGATAGATAATTAAAATACTTCTTTGCGAAACCGTGCACAAGAGCATCGAAGCACAAAAATGCAGTACTCTCCGAAGAATCTGAGAGTAATAGAAATTTATAAATTAATATGATTAAACCTATCTAGGGAGTAAGCTTGTTACCTTGGTGTCGAATGCTTTCATGTAAGTGGACCAACGACGCAGTACTTGTGGCTGGCCTGAGGTACCATTACGACAGTGACTTCGGAGACCCCGCACACGCGTAGAAGTGTTACGGGTAAATCCTTAAATGAACACTTGCATGAACGGAAAGACGATGGTTGGCTACTTTTCCAGGCGTCCCCTTCCCCGATGTGTCACCAAGTAACCGAATAGTCTTGTGAAACAATTCAAGTGTTGCACCCTGTTTACATTTCTACAATACGAGAGCTTTGTTTTGTCATCCGGTCTAAGTAACAACGGGATTCCAGCCGCCTTCAAGCCTTTCCATTCACCCTTACGAAAACCTCTGGGGATTATGATGGCTTGATGCTTCTGAATCGTATGCGAATTGGTCGAACTCGCCAATACTTGCAGTGATTCGGTCACAACGTCGATAATTCTTCCGTAAAAGTAACCATTAACCACATAGGTTGCCTTTATATTTCGGGATTAGAGAACAAAAATAAATATTGAACAATGAAAATCGCACTACTGCCTTTCAAAAGTTTCCACATTGAGATCTATACACTTTTGCATGCGTTCGAACCAATTGTCGGAGCACCTTCGCCACTCTGATCGAGGTAGCTCCAAAACATGCATTCTAAACGCATCAATCGCTTCTTCAGGTGTCGAAAAACGTTGAACTCTCATGTTTTTAGGTACGGGAATAACAAGAAGTCTTTAGGTGCCAAAGCCAGGGCTATATGGCGGATCACTCATCAAATAGATGTTTTGGGTGTTCAAAAATGCAGCTGTTTGAGATGATGTGTGAGAGCGCGCACTGTCGTGATAAAGGGTTTTTTTCGAACAAATTTTTTTGACAGTCAAGGTTCATGCAATATTGTTTGTATGCTAGTCCCACAATGCCTAAGGTTGCCCCAATCTCACGACAGGTCAAATGATGATCTTGCAATATTAGTTTGCGCACAGCATCGGAACAACAACTGATTTTGGACGACCTCCACTGAAGTCGTTTTGGAGTGAACTACGACCTTGGATGAATTCACCATGCCATCGATAAACACTAGTACATTATCGCCAAAACTTGAACTAAGTTCATCCATGCACTGTTGTTGAGTTAATCCACGTCGAGAATGGCAAAAAATAATCGCACGAAAATGTTGACGATTCAGTTCCATTTTTTGGCCTGAATAAATCTTTTAAGTCAGGGTTTTTGGGCACGTACACCTCAAAAAGGTCAAACTTCTCGGTAGAGCTCTCAGTTACCAGATTCTAACACTAGGGCTGCCCAATCCCGAAATATAAAAGGCAACCCTCGTATGATTCTATCTACGACCGAGATGTTTTCAATTAGTGAATTAAGAAATCAAATTCAATGCAAAGCGCTAAATTGATTCCCACAACTAAAAGCATTGGTCAGCAACACCGGTCATGAACTTTGGCAGAATCATACAGACGCCACATTCAAACATTCATTTATATCAATCATCACGTCATAGAGGCTAGTTACGTGAGATCGACTTCGTTTAATCCTAGCAACACAACTGATTTAAGGCCGATAAAGTTGTTTCCAACAGCATTGTTGGTCGAAATTTCACATTACACCGAGGAAGCAGGCACTACACTCGGCGATCAAGGAAAGAGAGCAGAGATCACGTGAGGACATTTAAGACTCAAATTACATATTAGTTGTAATATTGGTTGGTTGGTTGGTTGTAATACTTACCTCGTCCATTATTTCCGGTGAAGAAAAGTACTCTTATCAGTGATTCGTGTTGACCCATTATTCATCCAACACGATTACACCTTCGAGTGGAGGGTCATGGATGGCTATCTATGGGTTATATTGAACTACATACAATTACAGGCAGATGCATAAGCGAGAGTCAGAACAGTGAAGAGTTACGAACAAGGAATAGCAAGCAACAATAACGGTTCGTTCCAATCTGATCGAGAGAGCAGCAAACTGATATCTCATGTGCAGGTCAGTACAACATAGCCCATGACGTTGCTCTCAGAAATGACGTTCGACGTTCGACTCTTAAAATCGCAGCGGATATGAATGCGATGATGAGAGGGCATTTGGGCCTGGTTGAGATTCAATAAACAAAAGCTCCACAAAACATTAAGACCTGTCTTTAAATATCTAGGGCATTTGAAGGGATGTGGGTATAAAGAGAGGGAAGCAATCCCTCATTTGACTGGTCGCGAGATGATCGATACGAAATCCGTACTTGTTGACATTTGTCAGTTAAAAACGCTGAATGGTGAACATAATAGCAACCCAATAAGAAATACACCTGGATCCTGAACAACTGGGCTGTTGTGTACTGGACGGCCACCATTCATGTGGTGCTGCTCAGAAGTTTCGACTGGTGTGCTACCAACACTACGCCGATCATCTACATTCAAACCTAAAACAGAAACGAAAGCATCGAAACACTGGAGATGTCAACTGTGATCCCCAGGAGCAATGTATAAAGATACATTAGCGTTCAGTGAGAATCGTTAGGACGAATACTTATAGCATCGGTTTCCAATTGACTCACAGACTTCACAATCACGGTCATCTCGTTTATGCGCCACTCTGGCGAAAGCACGCCAGTGCGTTCCGTGTGACGTTAAACGTTGGTCTCGTAAGGACGATTTCTGCTGACGTGTTCCTTCAGGTGACAGAAGTAGGCGAACATCATTGCTACTCCGCTGCCGCTTTGGAAGCAAAGCAGCACGGCTAAGTCCGAAATCAGACGGGTTTCGGTCAACATCCTATAAAATTAACAAACATCTCAGATTTCAGCTCTACATTTCCAAGTTTGTCACTATACATAAGTCGAAAACAAACGAATCAACAGGATTCATCCGTACCAGGAAAACACAGACTAAAGAGAAGTAATCACTCCACCATTGGGAACACTTTGCAAAATCGTAGCATCACCGGAACCCGTTTCACAAATGAATGAAAGGATAAGTACGGCGACCGCGAGGTATGTTACCTTCGTTGGCAGGAAGTTTTGCTCTTATATTCTATAATTATCCACACTATAATCTCCAATTTCTCTCTTGCTTGAAGGCATATTCGTTTATGACTGAAATGTTTTTGTGCCGTGCGAGGTGGGAGACGGGCAGTAGGAACGGTTTTGTATAATCTATCCGCCGCACGCGGCTGTCTCGGACCATCAATCGCTGTGTGATTATTACTTTTGGCATTATGCTACTGTTAGTTCTTGCGTTCCTGTATTTTTTATTTTACTTGCTGCCGCATTCTGCTACCTTGGCGCGTGACGTCTCTCTCGTCGCGACGCGACAATTTCGTTCCTATTGCACCACACACGCGCGAGGTTGTGAGGTGGGACGAAGTATGAAATCAACGGCTTTACGTGCCGACGTTATCATCTTCTTCAGAGGCCTAAATGCACTCTAGATGATTTGCACAATATCCGAAAATCTTCCCTGGCGAATGCGGCAACGAATTCAGAATCCATAACTTGAAGCATGGCCCACCAGGGTTCCACCGCTGTAGCGGACATAATCCGCTGCTACAGGTGACTGTCAATAGTATATGGGACTTCTTGCTGTCACCTCTATACTCGTGATAAGGAAGATCATGTCATTATGCTACTGAGTCATAGGTCGCATTGCGGTATATACGGCAAAATATCGTTGGTTATGGACGAGCACTCATCTCCATCATTCATTTCAAGATTCCCTTGAATTATCCAGAACGCCTTCGATTCCTGCGCTAGTATGATGCACTTTACTCCGAAGTTGTTGCCGTTTTGCTCCCTCAATTTTATGCCTGTACAGTGCCTCGTCTTATACTAGCTAGGTCCTCTTTGATCGGTATACCTAGTTATCTTCCCTCTTCTCCGCTGTACGTTGACCACATGTCCGACATTCGTAGATTAGGTCTATCAGTGCGCAATCACCTGTTCTTCCGTAGGGACATATGGTCCGATCGTTTGCTAAACACTGCTTATCGTGGAGTCTTTTTCGAACTGCCGGCTGCTTGACGTTGTCGTTAGGAGCATTCACTAAATGTATAACATCTTGCAGCCCAGGTGTGAAAAACTCCGCTGTACAGCATTGCTAACTTTATCGGAGATGAAGGGAAGACAGTGGTAACTTATTTTGGGCGTAGCACGCTGCGTATTAGTGCGAGATTTTCCACAACGTTGCGACACCGTATAATCGGTCACAGCAGCTATCCCACAAGCTAAACGCTGGGGTTTGTGACGTTCAGCCTCACCTGTGCAGACATTTGTTGCTGCTCTCAACCATATAGATGAGCTGATGTAGCGTGAAGTAAGATATTCTTTGCTAGCTTTAGGGTAGAACTTCACACTAACAACGCCACTGGATACTTTGATTTGAGTGCTGACGTAAGGGAACCAAGAGTCACGTGGTTCCTCTCGGGTAAGTTTAACGTGCTGTGTAATGTTCATTCATGGCTCAAAAGCAATCGTTCATCTCAAACTGCGTTGACGTCACGGTGAAAGATGTTCCAGCCATGAAGCACACAGCAAGAACCTGTGCTAGCCGTTGTCCTCTTGCTATATCTCTGACTTAAGAAAAGTACTTCCCCGCTCATTCAAAGAATTTACAGGTGAAGCATTCCTCGACCAACGTCATTATGTGCATTTCACGCTTGTGCAAGGTTAAAGGTGGTTATATTATTAGCACGCCTATCTAGCATTCCAAATAATGCTTGTAGAGCCTGCTCGTTTTCGACATTGGTATAAAGCGAAACAACGTAGAATGACTACATCACATTACTCATACCGAGGTCTGAGCCATATAGTAGTTGTGGTGAGATGGAACCACGGGCAACAGCTGGCTAACAATATTTTTGAGAAACCACGAGATTCTGTCAGTTGGTCCCCCACACAACTAACAATGGGCCGAATTTCAAAAGATCCAGTGCTGTAGACAGCGCTTCGCTGGAGAACAGTTTATGGGTCTTCATGAGGCTGTAGAGAACTGAACACTTAGGACTATTCACTTTGTGCCTACCGATCAACCATTCATCAGTAGCCGTAGATTGCGCAACACTCAACAATATATGATAGAGGCGACTATATTGTGATAAAAACTCTTTCTCCGTCACGCGACAGTGAACAGAGGAGGCGTTGAGATGGAGATCGGTTATGTGTCAATCAAGTGATTGACTCCGTCTCAACGATAACGACTTATCGTTGACGGAGATCGGATCTATCACTTTTATCACGAACCGGT